TGGGTACAGGCTACCATTTGAAACTGCCCTGCGCTGGATAACTGTGCCCTCTTTTGCAGCGAGGGCTGTTTGGAACAGCCTGGCGGCAACAGAGCTGGATTTGGAGCAAGAAGACCCGTGCCCCGGGCTGGCTGCCCTGACCCCTCAGCTGCTTTGATCCCCATTCAATCCTCTGGGGGCCCCACTGAGCCTGAAATATGAGGAGGGGTGGATGGCGGATCTCAGCCCCTCTGCGTGGACTCTCCAAGGTGTTCAACTGTTGGTCCTTTATTACCTGTACACCCAGCTCAGGATACAGCAGTAAAGGGGCCGCTGCCCTCTCCCTAGTGGAACTGATGGCAGAAGGGGAGAGAGAGACATCAGATGAGAAAACCTAACATTACCAACTGGTTACAAACCAGGAGGGGAAAGTGCAGGAAAACAACGTATTGGAGTGATTGTATTTTGTGGGGAGGGCCTCCTCATCCTCGCAAATTATCAAGTCATTCTGATGTTTTCTTCTACTTTAGGGGCAATCTTTAGGTTTTGCTGCCAAATGAATCTGAAAGCTGCCCTACGAAAGTTCCTTTCTGTTCCGTGTCTTTGTGCAATTTCCTGAGCTGTTTCTCCCTCTCTGGGTGGGATCGCTGGATTCCCTCCATATTCTCTGAAGAGTGACGGTCCTTGAAACGTAATCCTTTTCCCTAGATCTTGTCTCCTGATTTCCTGTTGATAAGCAGGAAGGGCGAGGCTGGTTTCAAGTAAGTGGGTGGATTCCGGCCAAGTGTGGTCAGTAGAAAATGTCCCGTTTGCCCACTGGGCCAAAGGGTTTTCCAGGCATCAGCCCGTGACCCCATCTCAAACCTGGGCTCCTCTGAGCTAGACCTGGCCATCCTCAGTAAGGACATTGTGGAGAAAGGAACAGTGGGAAACATTTGACTGTCACTTTCTTTTTCGGTGGAGATGTTTCTGTTGCTTTGTTCTGGGGGTGGGGGCTGTCCACGGCCGAGAGCCAGAACAAGTGTGTATGCTAAGAGCACAAACAGCTCTTTAGGGTTGTTTTCTGAGCCATAATTTGCATTTCTTGTTCATGTCTGAAATGAAAGTGGTAGGGAAAAAAAGGCTTATAAGCCTGGTGGAGAGGTGGTGGGTTGGGGTCTCCCCTTTCTGCATGTGCTTGAACCTGAAACTCCATGCGCAGCACTGCACTCCCAGTGGCTCAGAGGGCCTCTGATCTCCAAGAGCTTGTCAGCTCTCCATCAGCTGAACCTGATCTCCGCTGCCTGCAATGATGTGTTCACATGATTCTTTCCCAAGTTTCCCTGAGAGCCTTTTGGTGTAGTTGTATTGGTTTAACTTTCCCTGCTTTGTTATTTTTCTTTTTCCTTTTTTGAAAAATTGAGATATAGTTGATTTATAATACCAGGTAAGTTTCATGTGTGCAATATAGTGATTCGCAATTTCTAAATATTATACTTCAT